CCCAACTGGTGCAATGACTTGCTTCTCATTTCCTAAACAACCGTGTCAAAAGACACATTCCGTGGTCGTGGAAAAGAAGTTAGTCTGTTTGAGAAGGGTCAAATCATTGGCATGCATCAAGCAGAGAAAACATCTAAATAGATTGCAGAAACTACTAAAATTGGGTTAAGAACTGTCCAACGCAAGTGGGGACCCATCATCTTCAAGAAAGAAATGTGGCCAGAAAAAAAACTTGAATGACCGTGATCGGCGATCACTTAAACGTGTGGTGAGATCAAATCGAAGAAAAACTACAGTAGAACTCAGGGCTATGTTTAATACTGAAAGTAAGAGCATTTCCATACGCACAATGCGAAGGGAACTCAAGGGATTGGGACTGAACAGCTGTGTAGCCGTAAGAGAACCACTAATCAGTGAGGCTAACCGGAAAAAAAGGCTTCAATTTGCTAGGGAGCATAAAGATTGGACAGTGGAGCAATGGAAGAAGGTCATGTGGTCTGATGAGTCCAGATTTACCCTGTTCCAGAGTGATGGGCCAATCAGGGTAAGAAGAGAGGCAGGTGAAGTGATGCACCCACCATGCCTAGTGCCTACTGTAGAAGCCAGTGGGGGCGGTGTTATGATCTGGGGTTGCTGCAGTTGGTCAGGTCTAGGTTCAGCAACAGTATGTGCTCAAAGAATGAGGTCAACTGACTACCTTATTATATACTGGATGACCAGGTTATTCCATCAATGGACTTTTTCTTCCTTGATGGCACAGGCATATTCCAAGATGACAATGCCAGGATTCATCGGGCTCAAATTGTGAAAGACTGGTTCAGGGAGCATGACACATCATTTTCACACATGGATTGGCCACAGAGTCCAGACCTCAACCCCGTTGAGAATCTTTGGTCAGACTCTACCATCATCAAAAAATTGATGATGGTAGAAAAATTAATGCAACACTGGATGGAAATAAGTCTTTTGACATTGCAGAAGCTTATCGAAACAATGCCACAGAGAATGCATGCCGTAATCAAAGCTAAAGGCGGTCCAACAAAGTATTTTTTTGGTGGCAACTTTTTTTTTTGGGCGAGGCAGTATATATATATATATATAGTAACAAATGTCCACATTAAACTGAGAAATGTGTGACATATCTGCAGGAGGCGACTGTCAGCTGATAATCTGTTGTTGAGGTGTTTGTGTCAGGGCCTTAATCTCAAAAAGGACCATCACAGTGTTGAGTCTGTTTCATTAACACCGACTAACATCCATGTCATCACCATAACCTTTCTCTAAGCCTGCAGCATGGTCTTCCCCTCACTCCCCCCTCCTCCCATCTTATCTGCCTGCCTTCCTGTGTCTCACCTTCATTTTGACCTGAGGAGAGGTGAGTCCCACCGACTAGCTGCCGGTAAGTTTCAGAGATGTGTAAAAATCCAGCCGTTAATCCCATCCAAGAGGTCAGATGGTGTTCTGCTCTTTAGTTATTAAAAAGTCACATGTCTGTGGATTTTCATACTCCTGTAGTTTCATGTAGGGCTTTCCAGCCGAGGTCACAGATAGGTCTTCAATATTCCATCACAAAGCCAGTAATCCTTCAAACACGTCATGGGGCTCCCATAACACCTTTGATCCTTATGTCATTTTATTATTCAAATTTATATTATATAAAAATTTGAGCTTCTTTCAAGAAAATGAAAAATTTTCTTCAGGTTTTATATTCACAATTTATGTTTATTTATTTTAAACCTAAATTTCTGCTCTGATTTCAATACATTTTATGTGTATATTTAATGAATTATAATATATAATATTGAGACTGTTAAAATGCCTTTGGAGAATAGTAACCTTTAAGTAGTTTTTCATGGAGCCCATATTTCTGTATTGAATAATTTTTTACTGGTCAGATTTGATATCTTAATAAAAAAATGACTTGTTTTTTTTATTATCTATAAGTAGTAATAAAAATAAAGGCTTTAATATATCTATATAATATCGTCTGTGTGTAATTAATACATTTAATGAAGCCAGTAACTGAAAAAATTCAACTTTTTAATTATATTCCTGTTTATTACATTGCTTTAGATAAAGGTTTCTGCAAAGTTAAAATATAAAAAGTTCTGTATTTGGCTTGAATTCAACAATTGCAAGTCGTTTATATGTTTTGCACATTTAGTAGTTTAAATTTTTATTTCTTTTAATCTTTATTATTATGGCTTAGAGCTAATGAAAACTCCAAATTACATTTTATTTGTGGCCCTCGGACTAATTGTGTGCGTCCCCCTCCCTCTGCATTTCCACAATGATTCCAACCTGGCCCTCAAGCACCGGAGATAATTAAGTTAAAGACTTTTTATTTTTAATAAGGGGAGGAAATTATTTCTTCCAAATTAAACATCTTCCTCCATAGCAATGCATTAGGTAAAATAATTAAATGTCTATATTTTAATAAAGCAAATGTGCAAAACCCTTTAAAGTTTGCTTTTCTAAGCAACAATGATTTCATTCCGTTATTACAGAGAAATTAAAGACTTAATGCAGGCTTTCTTCAAAGTTAAGCAGGTAAAAAACAATACAATATCCTATTGAGTTTTAGTTTAGAGCATAACAGTAACAAAACCATTTTTAAGTGATTTTCACTTAAAAATCTATGAGATGTTTGGAGTTGATGCTGTAAATCGGGCATCCCCAAAGTTTGTCCTCGAGGGCCTCAGTCCTGCAGGTTTTAGAGGTCTCCCCGCTCCAGCACAGCTGATTTACATTGATAGTTGATAAACAGGCTTTTGCTGAACTGCAATCATCAGAATCAGCTGTGCTAAAGCAGAGAAACCTCTAAAACCTGCAGGACAGCGGCCCTCGAGGACCGACTTTGGGGCTTTGGGGCCAAAAAAATCGCAGTGTAAGCCCGGCTTTAGCAGAAGATATCACTACTTCATCTCTTTCCATCACACTTTTACCATCAACTAAACTTTAAATACATATAATGCTTGAATAACTGTTAGAACTTGTGATATAAGAAAAATTATTTAAAGATTTTTTAATTATTTAGGCTTTCAGCTGCAAAAAGGCTCGAAGTAAATTAAGCAATGTTTAAACAGGGAGTAACATATCAGCAAGTTAGTGTTTTAGTTTCACTGTAGACAATAGAGTCAGAATGATCTCTGATCCACCTGTTGCCTTGTTTTCAGTCAAATACCAGCAGCAACGGTCCAGCGGGGTACAGTCAGCCGGGTCGCCACTCTGTGTCTGTGGAGGTCCAGATGCAGCGGCAGAGGCAGGAGGAGAGGGACTCCTTCGCCCAGGCGCAGCGGCAGTACAGCTCCCTGCCTCGGTGAGACTCATCAACACATTGTTTCTGTCTCTCTGCCTCCATCCATGCCTCTCTGGTCATTGCAGGTTTTTCAGGCCAGCGTTAGATAACAGCAGCAACTGGGTCAGTAGTTGTCAGCTTCACATTACAAAGTGTCACACAAACACTGTTAGCTAGAACAAACGGATCATGTTACCATCTCAGACATTTCTGACATGATTGTTTTCCTTTTTCCTTAATCTAATTCCCTTTGATCTGTGTGATCCTTTGGCTGCTTGTTCCAGGAAATGCTGATGTGTTCATTATTTATGGGTGTTCTGGGGTAGATGGAGAGTCACAGCCCCTAATGGTCCTGGTTCCACTGGGACCATTTAAGACGACGCTCTATATCTGCTCCAGCTGTTCCTTCAGTCTAATTTTATCACTGTTCCTGTCCTTCTACCTGGCGACCCACACTCTGTTTTTTGGTCTCTTGACCCTTTTTCCCTCTTATTTATTTTCTTGATGGTTTGCTTGTAGTTGGTAGTTTGACTTCTGCCAGTACTGAAAAAAACTGGCTGCTCATAGGGCTGTGGCTCAGCATGTTACTGGAAAGCTTAGTGCAAGAACAGAAAAAAATCTGGTTAAAATGAGTCTTTAAATAGACCATAATGGGAAAATCTGTGGAAATCTGCTCAATTTTAGATTTATTCAACACCTTCAGATTCTAAATCCTCATTTTGACCATTATGCCATGTCTAAAACACCCCTGAAAACACCAAGACCCAAGATCAACTGCAAACCGTTAAAAAGCCTTTTTAAGCATCTGCAAACCTTGATAACTACCTGAAGAATAAAGCCTTCTCCATATAAGACAGCCAAAACTACAACAAAAAGTTGTAGCAGTCCACATGGAAGAGCCAAAATCCTTTTTAAAAACTGAGCTGTTTGGTCACAAAGAGGAGAAAATGTTTGAAAGAGTTGGTCTAAAGCAGGCAGGCCCAAATTCAGTCCTAAAGGGCCGCAGTCCTGCAGGTTTTAGCTGATTCTGATGATCACAGTTCAGGAAAAAAACACCAATTAATGGAAATCAGCTGAGCTGCTGCAGGGAAACCTCTAGCGAGGACCCACTTTTAGCATACCTGGCTAAAGCTTTCAGCTGCAGAAACAATGTACAAATTGTTGGTAGTGGCTGCATCATGCTGTGGGTGTGTTTTTTAAGCACTGGTACAGCAACTTTGATTTAGATTATTAAGCTCCTCCTCATATCAATTTAACCGGATGGACTCAATGAGGACAATCAACCCAAACGCAAGTTGAAGCTGGGTTGTTTCTTTTTAAAAAAAGTATTTTATCCACTAATGGGAAAGATCAAATATCCGGGCACATTAATGCCAGAAACGTTGCTGGTTGTCAGAAGACAGCTTGGTTGCAGCCTGCTGAGGAACATTAAAACAGAATCATGACTCATAACATGACAAGAAGTTTAGTTGCAAAAAAAAATTTTTGTTCTTTTGGATTTATTTTGTGGTTTTTTATGGCTCAATCAATTTCAAACATTTGAAGAGCTTAGCTTTCATCATATAGGAAAGAGACCTTTTAAGATGTCATGTTATCTGGGTGGAGGATTATTAATGGAGGCATAGCTGCTGTTTTTTCCCTCATTCTGAATGTCATACCCTCTGAGCGTCTGTGGTCGGTTCTCCAAACTGTCTCTATTTTTATCAAAAGAAAACCAAACTGTCTTTTCCAACATAATGGATTAGATCTATTGTAAACCCCCTTTTTGTAATGCGTTGTGACCGTCTTTGAGCTTTTGTTTAAAACTGTAGATTTGGGTTTTACTGGAAAACGACCTCCGTGGGCGACCATCACATTCAATAGAAAAAATGAGGCTAGTGTAAAGTCTCACAAACCGCCTGCTGACATGTTCAAACCCGTAGCATCAACATACAGGAACCCCTAACCACGTCAAAGTCCCCTTCCAGCCCGTTAGGCCTCAGAGAGGGACTGGAACAAGCATTATTGGACCTGACAGACAGTAATAGTGGACCTTTTGCAGACAGAAGAATGAAGCGAGCGTCTTTGTCCTCCCTGGGTACAGCCGTTCTGGCGTGTGACATCGACTCGGTTGGGTGTCAGGAATCTGGGCAGCTGCTCTGCACGTCGCCACAAAACATGGTGAAGGGAGAGAGGGAAAAAAATCCAGATGTGTGTCATCAGCTATCATTTCCGCTCGGCCGGCTCTGCCTTTGTGTGATGTGTACAAGCCTCCTGGGCTCTGTGCATTTATCTCCAGGCTGAGGCAGAGCGAGGAGAAGAAGAACATCATTGAGCTTCTGATTCTGAGCCATGCATAATTAGCACGTTTATCAGCCAGCTGTGGAGAAATCACATTATTCCTCTGTTCGGATTTCAGCAGGAAGAGGCGACATAAAAAAAAGGAGAGAAATCCTTTAATGATAACAGAAAGGAGCTTTGTCTTGGATTCAATAGAGATTGGATTCAATTGGGGATGGATACGCTCCTTGATCGCTGAGATAGGAGGAGTGGAGCCCAGGTTTATTCTTACACACGCTCGACTGATTTCAATTTTCAGAGGCGGGTGTCCCCGATATCTGATTTTATTTCATATGTTGACAAAAGGGGCCAAAGCTGCTCTGAAATGCAAACCAAGTGTTGCCTCTGTTGTCTGGTGGAGGGGAAGGAACTTTAGATGACGCCACTAGGAAATATTCAGACATGATCAAACATTCATACATTTTATTGTGTTACAGCTTTAAACATTATTGTATATAATACATATTCAGGTGAACAAAAAGGTCACAACTGTGTAGTGGAAGGAAAAACGTATAGAGAGATCTGTCTCATTTATACTCACACCCCTAAATAAAACCTGCTGTAAAAATCTGATCTGGTTTTAATTCGTAAATGAAATCCACCTGTGTGTAATTTAATCAAAGTATAAACTGGGAATGTGTGCAGATGGCTTCCAGCATGGCTGCCAGTTAGCTAATATATGGGTTTAAGACGGAGTAAAACAGGCCTTCAAAATAAAAGCTGATTTTAAATGATGAAAACAGATTAGCGAGATATTAAGATCTTTCATAATCCCACC